AGCCTCTCTCAGCACATTAATACAGTTCCACACACTCACACCTGGGAGCTTTCACACACAGCTGCAGACGGCCGCCCACACTGTGCTGCAATCCACCGAACAGCTCAGCCAAAGCAAATACAATGTTAAGGTCAGTTTTGGCCAGACACTACAATAACTGCCATCAAGTCTGGAATAATATCATCACCCTCACAGCTCTGTCCTTTGACTGCCAGACAACAACACAGCCTCTGCCTGCCTGTCCTGTGCTACTACAGTGCTGAATCTATGGGTGACTCAACCAGTCAGGCTCATGGCTAATGGAGACCTTTACCTCCTGATGACCTGCTTGACGTCACCAGGGACATATGGTAACACGTGCTGGTTGGTCCATCACTGAACACTAGAACCAATGTTGGTACCTTATTATTTTGGAAAATTATTTGACATCCAAATCAGCACGGTGACCAATCTGATCCTCTGACTGCTTGTGTTGGTGTGTGTAGAAGGACTGCATGCTAGCAATGCTGCCGCACCTCCACATCTAAGCAATGTAGCAGCTAGACAAAGTTCATCATAACAGAAAGAAATAATAACCACCAAAATCACAATGTACTGAACTGAATGTGAAAGTGTGTTGAAACTTTTGACTGGACTTGATCTCTGGGTCAATAAAACCTGTTAAAAACAAAAACAAAAAACCAATAAAAACTAAACTAACAAAAAAACTCTCAAAGTTCAATGTCAAAGCATCTTTTCATAAGACAGTGTCTCCTTATTTACAGATACAGATGTTAAATACCATATAGTGCTATGTTGTGAGAAGGTCCCCACTTTTTTTCCATCATGCTTCTACATCAGGATGCACATATACAGTACATGCTTGCAAGTGCTCAGAGAAAGACAGATTTAAAATATTCAAGAAATTGACAAATGATTTATGAAGGAAAAGCATTCAACACATTTGTTACACACAGTGCTTCTGGCAAGAAAGTAATAATCATTTTACAATAAAACTCTACAGGGTGCCTTTAAGGCTTACTAAGAGACACATTTTGTAGTGTTTGCTGGACTGATGTCAGGCAAGTTCCCTCCTCTTTATCACTCTGCAGCTCGACTAAGGCCTCTGAACCCATGCTTCAACTTTCCGCGTTTCCATACCAGTGAAGTGTGTGTGAGTGTTTATAAGCACAACCAAAGTGTTTTGTTTCCAATTACAAAAAATGTCAACATGTAGTACTTAAAGGTTACTTTTGAAATTATTTTTTATTATAAATAAGGATCAAAATGGACAAATCCACATCGACAAATAGAGGCTCATGTGTGTATATTTACAGTTTTATATATATATATATATATACACAGTGGTGTGAAAAAGTGTTTGCACCCTTACTGATTTCTTATCTTTTTTGCATGTTCTTTTTGCTCAGCAGTGGTTTTCGTCTTGGAACTCTGCCATGCAAACCATTTTTGCCCAGTCTCTTTCTTACGGTGGAGTCATGAACACTCACCTTAACTGAGGCAAGTGAGGCCTGCAGTTCTTTGGATGTTGTTGTGGGGTCTTTTGTGACCTCTTGGATGAGTTGTCGCTGCGCTCTTGGGGTTGCATTAAAGGTGAAGTACAAGTGAGATTGTGTACAACTATAATTGTATAAAATCAACGTATATGGCAGTAGATGAGTGCATCCTGCACCAAACACATCCAAGATTTAGCATATTTAGTCCAATTAAACTATGATGTCAGATATGTTATGGTGTAATAAAATACTGTAGTCACCAGTTAAATCAGCATTTTGTCATGAATCAATCTGTATCTTTTGGCAGAATGCATAACAGACCAGCAGAGCTGGTCAACACAAACACACTGCATGCCTTTCACTGATGTCACAGGGTATTGAATCTCTAATATTTCAGAGTTAACTACAGTACTTCAAGATGCCATTTGGAGCTGCCAACATGTAAAATTCCCAGTGCAGCTTTAAGAGTGAACTGGCCCAGTTTTTCATCTTGTCATTGCTTGACCTGCTTCTATTTGTGTTAACAACACAGTACAATATTTTCTTTTCAAGTGGATTCATTCCCTTATCGCTGTACGTTACTGTGTTTGTGCTGGAGGTTTAAGTCACCATACTATTTAAATCATGTCACTGTTTGCTGCTGGAGTTTGCCAAACAGATGATTACATAAACAGAATATCTTCCACTTGCGTTTCTGACAACCAAGCTCAAGGGACTGTTAACAGGCAGGGTAAACAAGGCTAAAGCTGGCAGGGAGAATAAGTCTGAAGTGTCCTTAAAGAGCAGCAGATCTCAGGCGGGCTAAACTGCTGTCAAGTTCATCGATGCTGGCTTTACACCACAATGCACAGAGACAACCTGAGTCCTGGCTGCAGGCTACTGTTTTAAATAACTCCAGAGCCTGCTATTGAACTCTGGTTGGTCGTCAATATCACCACTGTCTTCCTTTTCACAGCTCTTAGCCATGCGAGAGAGAAAAGGTTGGATGGGGGCTCTGTAGTATGACAAAGTGTTCTCATTAACATAAGGAAGTAGAGGAAGTGTTGTTTTGGAGAATTTCTTGGTGAAAAAAATTAAGGAGAGAGCATCCAACTAAGACTCTGCAAAGTGACTTCATTTTTGCTGGACTCTTTCCAGCTGAACTTAACTTCTGAAAGTTTTTCCTCCAGCCATCAAGCTGAAACAAAAAAATGTGTTCCATCCCACTTCGCCTATGATCCCTGAAGAAACTTTAAGTGGTCTGTTCAATTTGTCTGTTATTTAGAATTTTCTCAAAGGGGAACATCCCTAGTTTTACATCACCATTTGTCACGTTGAGTACTCATCAGCTTGTAAAAAGTGTTATATAATACAACTACAGTATGCTTGGGAGTTTCTTAAGCAGGAACTTGAAAGGAGACAACGATGTGGTTCTGGCATCTGATCAGGATGCCTACCCTACCAGGAGCGCTACCCTTTGGAGCACATCCAACTAATCTGAGACCCTTGGATAGACTCCAGAGAGAAGGATTTATCTTATTTGGCCTGGGGATGCCTCAGGATGTCCCAGGAGGAGCTGGAAGATGATGCTGGGGAGAGCGGCATCTGTACTACCTTGTTTAGCCAATTGCCACTGCAAACAGGCCCTGGATAAGCGATGGAAAACTTAGGGATGCTGTGGCCAGGTGATGCAAGATATCTCACCATGTGCAGCTTTAATTTTGGCTACTTTAGGGGAGCACATGTTATCTTTTAAGTGAGCATCAGTGCAGAAATCTTGGGAAAGAAATGAATCAAGCTGTTTTTAAATGTTCATAAGCTTGAAAGACTTCTTTTCAGACCTTGGTGGCTGAGAAATACAGGTGTTCATTTGTAGAAACTGGAGGAGAACAAAAGGTCACCACAGATACAAAGTTGTAGGTAAAGAACATTGATGGCTCACAGTTTTCTTTATTCATGAGTAATGTTTGTCTATTCATGTAGAAAATTTTAAGATAATTAGATGCTTTAAGAAGAAATTTATAATCTTCTCCATCCTGAGTGTGCGCTTTGGTTTGTGTCACTACATTCCAGACATGGTGATGTTGGAGAGCACTTATCAAATCCCTAGGGGTCATGAGACGCTAAAGAGGGTGCAGGGAAGTGGAATAACATCCAGAGGGGAGATCTTGTGGAGGACAAGCTCAAGAATTGAAGGAACACTACCAGGCAAAATAAAACAGCCTCAAGTCCCAGAGGGGGAGTTTATACTTGTGAATACCTTGCTGTACCCATCATTCCTCACCTCTTGGTTCAAGGTGCTCAGCCTTGACGGCTTCATGTGGCAACCTTAAAGGCTGATGGAGCATAGCCTGCTGCATCCCCTAACTCGGCCGCCAAACCTTTTTACCTTCCCTCATTTACGGGCATTGTCTTCCAATGAGTATCATTTGTCACCATTGACTTGCTCCATGCAGACACCCATGATGTTTTTCTGTGGTCCTAGGCCATTTCCACAGTTGGTAAACAGCTAAATCCCTCTACCAATCAATGCAGCCTATTTAACTTGAGCTATTGACTTGCCTGGCCCTCAAAAGACTTGAAAGGCTGGGAAAAAAACCCCCAAACAAATTAGACAGGTGAGAAAGAACAACAGAAATAGTGGCGCAGACTATGAAAAGACATTTTCAATAATGAGCTTTTGGTGGCAGAAAGAAAAAAGTGACAAAGTGGAGGTAAAGGAAGCGAGGGAGGGGAAGAAAGCAAGGGAAAACAGAGGAGGAATCGATCAGTATGAACAGATAATCACAAGGTTTCTGTCCCCAGTGCGTAAAGAGTGTGACATTGCAGAGGTGGGCACAGTGGGGAAGAGATCAATGGGTTGCTTTTTGTTGATCTGTAATCCTTAACTATCTATAAGTAATTAACCTTCAGAGGAGAATGCAGGGAAGAAATAGATGGAGAAATAAGAGGAGGAATAGCAATGAGCACAAGTAAACCAGAAGCTACCTTGCACTGACCAGATAACAGCACACCAAACCAAATTAATAGTTGTCTCCACTGCTGCCTCTGCAATTTGCTACATCTGATTCAATTTTAGTTCTGTCAGAGACTGCGATTGCTGTAAACAACTGCATATCCCTATGGTCTTCAGATCAGGATAAATATAGAGGAGCTGTTGTTAGAACAAATCATCTCATTTCGATTCAAGAGCAAGCTTTTAGAATACATATTATTTCTGTGTTTTGCTCTGGTTTTAGGGGAGGATGTAGTCTGAATCTATCATCTGTGGTCTGATGAGTGTATCTTGTCCCAAAATATTTCCTGAGAAGATGGAGGAGGATCTTATTAGGAGTCAGAGTGCCCTCTGTGGGTGCCAGAAGCAAAGCAAAGGGAGATACGGAATGCCAAAAGGGGGACAAAATTTTCTTTTTTTTTTTTAAATCATAATTGTGCCCTTTGTATTTTTAACTACAAGCTACAAGTTGCGACAAACTCAGCAAAATAAACATCCTGTACTCTTAAATGAACACAGTGTAGTCACAGTGGTATCTGCACAGGGTTTATTGGCACACAGATGCCCATACAGTGCATTATACTTCAAATCAAATTTCACTTATGTCTTATCAATAGTGACCCTTGAAGAATGTTTAAGTTAGTAAAAAGCAAATCAAGTATTAGAAACTTGTCACATTAATACACAATAATACAACAGGCAGGTGGTTCTCTAAGTAGCATACAGTGTGTGAAGTATGAAATGTCATAACTTATTAAAATATGGCCACTGTAGAAATCATTAAAGCAAAGAAAGCCATTTGAAGCAATGACTATATTATAAAGAAAAACCTTCTTAGCAGCTCCGCACTGTGGCTTAATATATTGTTCAGTGGATACCTATTTGAGTGCTTCTTCTTGGCTGCCAAAGACACCTCATCACCAAAATGGACACCTGAAGATAAAAAAGTATTCATTTAAGTCAAGAAGTGATGATAATACTTGTGATGAATGTAATCCTGTTAGATCAGTTTGTAGGTGGATTTCTGCTCTAAATAATTCGGAAGCAGAAAAAGTCATGTAGTACTGACCATCCAATGTAGCACTGGCACAGGTTCTCATGTGATGTGGCTTGCTTTATGAGGAGCTCTACTTGTGTTGGCACATCCAGCGTCTCATCATGGGAAAAGTCTCGACCTGTAGGGAACAAAATCATCACAACACTAGAGACCTTCACCAGAATATTTAAACTCCCTCTGATTTCAGTAACACCAGGGGGATTTTTATGAGTGTTTAAAATCTGGAATGATTGTTCCTTTAGAGAGAAATATGGGAGATCTACAATGTACACGTCTGATGCATTTTTTTTTTTTTATATATATATCTAAGTAGTGCTCCAGAACTGACCTGTAAGTTTGTCTCTGACTCTGTTGGAAAGAGCTAAAGGAATCAAAGTGGATTTGAGTGCTGCAACAGCACAGGTGTTGCAATAATTTATGATAGTGAGAGAGTTTGGTACTGTTTTAGAACAAGCAGAGAAAACCTAAAGGGTTGTACAACAACAAATAACCCATGGAATGACAGAATGAGCTGGCAACTCACTGAAGGACTGAATGGACTCAGGTACTGTGGTCCCTGGTTTTTTGTGTGTGGTCTCTCCAAGTTCTATTCCCTCAAGGGCCTCTGCAGAGGAAACCACGTAGTCACAGGTTAGAAGACTGTCTTACATTATTAAGTAGGAAACCGGCAGTAATTATAAACAGTTTGCAGACGTACCCACTGACTGTCCAGCAGTGTACGAGTCGGTCCTGGTGCGGGAATGCTTGTTGCCTTTGGTATTGGCTGTGGGTGAAACGGGTCATGTGTGATGGTTGTTTAATCCTTGAAATGACAATTTCTAATCTGATTCTTTTAATTAAAATATTACAGATGTTATTTTTCATCCAACACACATGAAGCAGTAGCAATGTTCTGACCTTTTTAAATGCAGTTTTTAACCTTTACATTTAGGTAAGGCTCTGGTACTGGCACTTACAGTACAGTACCAGAAGCTGGTTTTTACACACATTCTTGTATAGTTTGGTCAACACCTACAAATCCAAACAACAAATTATTAATTATTTAAATAAAGGCTGAAAATAAGTTCCATTTATAGTAAAACTGATGTATTCTACTCTTGTGGATTAAATGTCTTCCTCAACACAACCATGACAGTATTAGATGAGAGTGTTCAGGAGGGCTTCCTTCACTTTGTTCACTTGAGTGTTAGATGTCTCCAGCATCTCTTTAACCACTGTATTTCTCCCAAATACGAGACACACAAACTTCCATTTTATTACTGGGACAGCATTTTAGTTTTTCAGCCTGATGTGATCAAATATAACGGCGCACGCTCCTCACAAGTCGAAAAAACATCAGGCTCTATTGTAAGTGGAACAATTTACAGTATGCTACATTTCACAAAGGATTTTACTTGGCTCAACTCTTTCACATCCAGTTCACTGTTAGTGTAAATATACTGTCACGGCTATTTGAGTCTGTAAAATGGAATGTGTCTCTCAGCTGTCTTCTTCTCTCTTACTGTCCATGAGCCTCCAGTTGAGCAGCGGGTCATAGACGAAGGCTTCCAGCACAGCCATGACGCTGTCCCGGTGCTCCCTCAGCACCTCCATCACCGTGTGGCAGGTGATGCGGTAGTTCCCGTCCAAGCCGGTAACCTGGCACACAATCAGGCACAAACTACTGATTGAAACAAGCATCTGACCGCATTAAAAGATGCTTTTCAGATTTCAATCAGTTTGCTAGGACAGAGCAGAATCTAATCTGATGTCAAAATACTACATTTTCTTTCGTCATGCTTTCATGTTTAAGTTCTTTTCTCATTAAATAAACAGCAAAACACATCATAACCAATATAATATAGCACTGCACACATGGAAAGGATTAATTATTGTTTTGAAACAGTTACAGAAGACACATAAGTAGCAGCTCAGACAGGATTCAGTCCAGATGAAGAGTATTTAATGTACTGGGACTTCAACACATGGATAACTATAGGAAATAACTTATTAAAAAGACTTTTCCACTACATAGTTTTTGACTTTCCAAGTTGAATTAGGCAACCCAGTGGCTGCTACGCACAGTAATACAGTACACGCACTCTCTAATTGTTTATCATAGAACAAAGCCGCCTACCTCCATGGCATTGGTCAACATCCTCGTCAGTCGGAACGGGATCTTCTCAGGGAACTTCTCTCTGGTCATGGCAACCTGTTAGAAGTTGTAATAACAGTTTGTCTATGGAAAATCTGGGAAAAAAGGTTATTAATAAAAAGTGTCTGACCTCAAAGCAGTCTCCAAAGTCAATGTGGAGGATTTTGCCGCTTAACCGGTCCAACATCAAGTTAGATGGATGCCTGGAAAAATATCACCTTCCTATTCAAGTATTATGTTAACTGTCATTATTCCAACAGTTAGTTAAATAATACAAGACTTCAGCCTTTTGGCTCAGAAACTCACCTGTCACCCAGTCCAAGGATGTAGCCCACCATTGACATCACAGCCAGGGAGCGGGTATAATTAGTTCTCCTGTCAAACCACACCTGGGGGAGAAATAACAGCTTGACTTTAAGAGTTCTTCTGGTTCACAACATCAGAACACAACAGTATGGAAGACAGCACAGACATTTCTGTCTAGCTGCTTAAGACATCCTTCCAGACAGCTGAACATGTAGAACATCAGGCACATAAGATACTAATGCTCCTAAAAATGGATTCAGTGTGAAGGCCTGTTTGTAAAGCCCTGCAAAGTCAGTGGTTTGAAAGTAGGACACAGACACAGAGAAGTGATTCTTCAGGGAAAACAAGTTTTATTCCACTGCTAGTGCATTTCCTCAGTAATTAGAAATGCGAGAAGGTGAACTAAAAAAACTAGACAGACTTAAAAGGTTTTACTCTCCCTATGAATCCTCTGCAATTAATGAAAACCAAAATGACCGTCAGAACATCATTGATACGTCTTGTTATTTTATGCATCTGCGTGTTGTCTTTTCTGCAACTGAACATTCTCACATTTTACACTGGAACCAATGAAAAGCGAGGATCTCACCTCAGAGCTGGGGCTCTTGAGCCACAAGAGCTTTGCCAGGTCGTCGCCAGCCGTGTTGTTGACAGCATGCTCAAACACCTCCACCTTCTCCATTAGTGTCAGGTGGTCATAGTCTGGGGCCATCTGCAATACAGTTAAATTCAAGGCTCGACCCTGATTAAGGCTGACCAATAATGTATTTCTGTATTTCAAATAAAACTGCAATTTTTATGATGCACTGTACTGAGACATTTGGAAAGGCACCAAGATCACACACACAAGAGCAACATTTAAAAACTTCCTAGAAATGAATTCAAGGCAGTGATTCATATTTTCCACCTGGGACTTCACGGTCATGACGACTGATTGCGAGAAAATGTGACTGATTTCACAGCAGAGTTTGATGTAATTTCAGCTATCAGGAGTGTAATTCACACGCAGTGGGGAAAACGGTTTCCAAAAGGTGATTAAAATACATTGTTCGTACACGTTTGTCTGTTTTGGTGGCTGCTGTGTTTCTGCTACATTTCACTTTAATTATCTGAACTGTATAGTGCAGGTGCAGTATTTTATCCTTTTGAAGTTTAACGTATTATTTATTAAATGTAAGATCAATTAACAGACTCTATACTGAATGTTTACTGTCTATGTTAATACCTACTATAATGAATAAAGTTAAATCAAGTGGGGTATATATTGGCAGCTAATCATTCTGCATGTTAATTTAATTACTACTTGAAGGTTAAAACTGCAAAACTGAATAAGAACCAAAAATATCTAGAATGATTCTTTATGTTTAACTGCACAGTTTTGCATTTAGAAAGAAACACCTTCACGTGCACTCTAAAAGACTACAATCTGTCACTGTCACTCTCCCATCTCCCTCATCCTTTATCCAAAACTGATTAATGGACTAAATGTGACTGGTCAACTTAATAGCTCATCACTTATAACTTATAACTACTCAAAGCAAAATATGATATTTTTCCTACATAAAATGCGAGCAGAAGCTAATTTGTGCACAGGCTTGTTTTGTGACAGAGGGATTGAGAGAAGCATTTCCTGTTTGCCTGACAATGTCTTATGTTTTTTTATCCTGCTGGCCAGTGAGTCATTTCACTTCAGCCTTGCCCTGCTGGTGTGGCCTTGATGTTTCTGTGGTAAGTCTGCAATACCTTTTCCAGTCTACAGTTTTCAATTGAACCATTCTCAGTAAGCTTTTTCCACAACAGATATCAAGGTCAGAACTGCTCTGTGGCCTCTGATCCCATACATCATCTGCAGCATTTCCACTTTTTTGTAGCAACATTCTGGTGAGGAAGATTGTGCATGTACTTGTGTTCGCCGTTGCCTAATTTAGCATTTCTGAGGCCAAAATATGTAATTAATTCATGACAATTAAGGCTGTAAATGTGTTTTCATTAAGGACTGATGGCTATTCATCAGTATAATCACTAAAAACAGATGCTTCCTCAGCTCTGATGAATCTATTCAGTGTACGGCATGTATGCTTTTTATATGAATATCACACATTTACAAACATTTCAAGATAAACTCTGGTCACAAAACAATAAATGAGCACAAACTCATTTACACATAAATCTGATTCTAATAAGATAGCATGATTAAGATCCATTCTCAAACTGAGAACACTGCACTCCAGCAATGAAAACAAATATATGTAAGCAGGGAAAATCATAATGGTTTTCTGTTATTGAAATGAAGGAAGATAAAACCTTATGAATCTTAGGTGTCTCACCCTGAGCATGATGCGATGTTCAATGTTGAGGAGAATCTTTTTCTTCTCTCTATAGTCTCTGATGAGGGCATGCAGGGTGTCACAGTGGGGCACCCAACCAATCAGGCCCGAATTGGTGGAGAGGGGGATCACTGCATAGCGCTGAATACTGATGAACACAACACAGCCAAAACAAACAAACGTACAATTCACTGTCAAGGTTTCAGTTCTGTTTTTCATTTTCCTGCTCAAAACGTATGAAATGTACATGACCACAGAGTCCGTGTGTGTGAATGAACATGACTGTGTGTCTACCTGAGGTTTTTACGCAAGGATGCGGGGTCGTTGGCCAGCAGTGTGTTAACCAGACCAAACAGCTGCATGACTCTCTCATCCTGCCTCAGGTCCTCATGGCCTTTCAACAGGAACATGAACTCATGCCCATTACTGCCTGCAGCGGGTGCCACACAAAACACAACACTGAAACCCAGCTCAAAAAGGGTTAAGGCATTATGCAAGAACCATTTAAAGGCAGGACTTGGCAGCACTGACTGCTTTATCCAGAGTGTTCCCCTGCTGCTCTGCAGCTGCAACTCCATTACCTTTGCCTTAA